TTCAAGGTGAGATCAAGGTCACTTAGTAAGTGAGTGGTCAGGGGTGGGGGAACAGGGGCCAGATTTCAGGCCTCTTGTTACAAAGCTGTTAATAAGCCGAGTGTGTGTATCGGGGTGAAAATATTGCTCAAGCCACCCCTGTAAGATTCAGGAGCCCCCCAGCCCAAGAAAGCGCCTGTTTCCAAGTGATATGCTTCATTGAAGTTTCTGGAAGCAGAGAGCTGGGAGAGGAAGGGGAAAGTGTGCTGTAGATGGCCGAGAATTTAAAGATACAGCTTTAGAGGTCAAGAAGGATTTGGGTGCAATAGAGTGATTTGTCTGACACTGGAGCTACTTCCTAGCTGAGCGGACTTGGGAAAGTGTTTCTCTCTGAGTTTCTTTCTTCTCATGGGTAAAGCAGGGATATTGAAAGTGCCTCTCTCATGGAGTGGTTGTGCAAATTGAACAAGATATGCACATGGAGTTTAGCATTGTGCCTGGCACAGAGTCAGTGCCATTGCAGCTGCTATCTATCATCCTTATGGGTGATGTAGAATTTGCTTCCAACGAGGAAAAATGCATCAGGTTGCTGGGGAGTTTGCAGTTGCAAGTTGAAGTGAGCGTTTGGTGAGCACGTATGAATGGCGCCCTCTGCTGTCCAGTTTTGCTCTGTGATGATTTTACTGAGACATCCCCAGGCCACCCCGCTTAACCACATTCCCAGGTTGGTTATTGAGGTGAGGGTGAACTCTTTAAACCCCTCACACTTCAGTTCTATATCAAGTTGGACATGGGGAAATCAAACGCTCTTCCTTTTTGTTAAGAAGGTCATACACGTGTGAGATACCCAGGAAACGTATGTCAATGAATCAAAAATCGAATCTACTTACCTGTCCTTGGTCTCTCTCACTTTAAGCATGGCTGGTGAGACCAGGCCAGGGCAGACACCTGTGAGGCCACAAGGATGGGAATTGTGTGGTAGACTGGGTATTTCTGATTGCAGTCCAAAGCAAGCTATTCATTCATTCATTCATCCATTCATTCATTTATTCAGTTTAATCTGAGATTAAGACCATTGCATTAATTTGCTATGGCTGCTGTAACGAGGCACCACAAACTGGGTGGCTTAAACAACAGAACTGTATGTTCTGGAGGCTAGAAGTCCAAGATCAAGGCGTTTGTTGGACTGGTTCCTTCTGAGGGCTGTGAAGGAAGGATCTGCTCCAGGCTTCTCTCCTTGGCTTGTAGATGGTGTCTTTTCCCTGTGTCTCTTCACATAGCCTTCCCTGTGCCTGTCTCTGTGTTCAAATGTCCCTTTTTCAAGGACCCCAGTCATATTGGATTCAGGGCCCACCTGACACCTGGGTGACCTCATCTTAATTTAACTAATTATATCTGCAATGACACTATTTCCAAATAAGGTCACATTCTGAGGAACTGGGGGGTTAGGATTTCAACAGATGGATTGGTTGGGGTGGGGAGACATAATTCAACCCATCACAACTATGAACTCTGGAACCAGACTCTCTGGGTTCAAATCCCAGCTCTGCCTAGCTTTGTGACCTTGGCTGAAGGGTTTCTAGCTCCTGGGGCTGTTGAGAATTAAACAGGCTCAGCCACATAAAGCACTTAGAACAGTGGCTGGCACAGAAAAGTATCACGTTAAGTGTCATGACATTTTTACTGTTCCTATTTCAGTTAGAAAATGCTTACTGAACTCCTGATGTGACATGTGCTGGCACACGTATCAGTTTAGTGTATAAAGCACTGCTAGATTTTCTATGCCCCTGGACCCTCGTCCATGTGTGTAATTGGGAATATGCAGAATACCATTACACCTGCACCATTACATCTAGCACTTTCCTTTTCATCACCCCACTAATTCTCCACTGTAATCCTGTTAGTTAGGCAGGCTGGAGGGGTGGTCAGTCTTCCCAATCCACAGATAGGGAGACCGAGACCTCCAAACATACACCAAGTCTGTGGCAGGGCTGGGCCCAGCTCTGCTGCTTCCGTGGTCACTTTTTTTTTTTTTAAAGAGTTTTATTGGGTAATTGTGGGGATGGGAACAGTACTGGGGAATTAGGGGAAGGGGAACAGACAAGTTGCTGTCATTTTGTTCTTCAATCTAGTTGTGGAGGACACTGCTTCACTGGCCCAAGTTGGCACCATCATTGCGCTCTTCCCTGGTGAGGCAGATCAGTCGCCGNTAGCATTACTGCGAGGACTGACTGAGGTGATGCATGCAGAGTGCTCAGCCCAGGTAGCTGCTGGCAATCGACATTTCCTGGGGGACCCACAAAGAACACGATACTTGGACCAGTTTAAGACCTCGTGTTCTGGTGTAGGCCCTACTTACCAGGGAGGGGACTGAAGTCCTGACTGGGACTTGACAGAAGCAGATGTGGTTCCTGTCTCCCTGTGCAGCTCACTTTTTAAACTTCCACACTGGCAGCACCTGCTCCTCTGTGTGCAGACAAGTGGAGGTTTTGCCTCTAAAACAATTTAGAAGAAAAAGCATTTCCTGGGCAACCCCTCTCCTGGTCTGATCAGAGCCGTTGCCAGCTCCTCAGTAAATAAGGCCAGGTAAGGCTAACATGCTGAGAAAAGGTGCTCAGTAGCCTTGCCTTCCATCTCAGCAGTTGGAATCTAGCTGAGTGACCTTGGACAGCTCCTGCCCTACTGGGGGCTTGACCCCCCATCTATTGACTGTGAGGCTTTCACTGGAGCTCAGCTGGTCCTTTGAGCTCTCTTTCTTGGGGCTGTTACTCTGGCAGAAAGGGGGAGGGTGTCTGGGATTTCCATCGTTGCTCCCAAGGGATTAAGGGATTAAGCTCTCAGGCCATTTCAAGGTCATTATTCCATTTTCTTCCAGACTGACAAAAAAGAGATGCGCAATAACTACCTGAAATCTCCCCGCTTTAAGGTGTGTGCCAGGGATGCAAGTGTCCACGGGGTCTCGGAAGGTGGCATCTCAGGGGGCCCTGGGTGCCTTGGGGTTGGTGTGATGTAGTTCCCCCAGAACTGGCACAGGCTGGGCAGCTAAACAGAGGCGTGTATGTGGGATGCCATCTGCCCTCGTTTTAGGCCCTCCTGGGGCATTCTGAGCTCACCTGTCTACGGAAGGTAGAGGCCTGGTCACTCACCCCATCCCACAACCCTGGGGTTTCCTGTTTTACACACTGCGGCATCCCACTGGGCTTTCAGATGGACGTGCTCTGTCTGCTGCCCTTGGACTTCCTCTACTTGAAACTCGGTGTGAAGCCCCTCCTGCGCTTGCCGCGCTGTCTGAAGGTAAGACGAGTGAGCTTCCCCATCCAAGGCCTTCAACTCCTCCCTGCCCTGCACCACCACCAGCACTGGCACATTCACTTCTGCCCTGAGCTGCACTGGGCATGGGAGGCATTGGCGGTGGGTGGCGGGAGTCCCAAGGGGAGATGCAAATTCCTTACAATTGTTAGTGCTTCTTAGTGGTGCCGTGTGTTAGGTATTGTTCTGGAAGCTTTACAAGTGCCAGGTGAGTGTTGGTAGTACCAGCATTTTATAAATGAGAAGTCTGAGGCACAGAGAAGTTAAGTAATTTGCCCAAGGTCACACGGGTAGGAAGGAGTAGAGTCTGCATGTGAACCCAGACAGTCTGTTTCCACTGTCTATGCTTTCAGTAATTATAGAGACTCCTCAGAGGGACTTCTACTTTATGATGATCTCCATCTAAAAGATGGGGAAGCTAAGACTTGGAAAGCTCGGGTGACTTGCTAAAGGTCACAGGGGCCAGGAAGTACCAGGGATGGATTTGAATGTGAAGCCCAACACCTGTTTCATCGTTAGTTGTTGCTCAGTGTCATTACGGCCATTCTTCCTGCTGCTAGGGCAGAGCCAGTGTCCCTGCCACTTGTCCTCTAATGGGACCAGTGTGGACAGGCAAGTCAAAGCACTCAGGATCCTTCAAATGAGTTTTTCTGGTGGACCAATTAAATTCATCTCTCTTCTTACGTGATGCCTGATGTTTCTTCCCCAAAATGGCAATGAGGGAATTGCAAAAGAGACACATGCAATCTCCTTAATAACCCAGAGAAACAGGGCAGCAAAAAAGTAGGAAGAATGCAAGCATCCTGATGAAAAGAAAGCACGTCCTGCTGGACTCGAGCATGGACCCTGCAGCCGAGCTTCCTGGATGCCAAGAGGGAAGAGGAAACTGGAAGTGTCCCCAGTCTTATGTGACAGGCGCCAGCTTCCGGGGGGCTGCTGAGGTGGCTTAGAGCCAGTGGGGAAGGTGGATCCACAGCCCAGGTTTCACCCCAGATGCAGAGGTGAGGTTGGTACTTTGGTTCACATGGCAGTAGTGAGTGTGCATCACTCACACACCTAACGTTTCAGCACATCTCCCAGGACATGACTATTTGAGCCTAAGGTGAGGGATTCAAGTCCATGGTCCTTCTGCATCCGGTGCAAACTCCAGATGGAAATCAGAATCACCTGGATGATAGCTGGCATGTCCCCTAGGAAATCTTCATCAATGTTATTTTAATTTTTTAATTTTTATTATTATTTTTAAGATTTTTATTAGGGAGTTGGGGGAAGGGGAACAGATAAGTTGCTGTCCTTTTTTTTTTTAATTCTTCAGTCTAGTTGTGGAGGACATTGCTTCACTCGCCCATGTTGGAATTATGATCATTGCACTCTTCCCGGCTGAGGCAGATTGGTTGCCGGGCACTGGACGGCCACTCACGGTGGCTCTTGGCAGCTCACGCTGGCTGCTGGCCACACACAGTAGCCCATGGCAACCCACTGCCACAGGGACTGCAGCCTACGCCGTCGCCAGCGACTCACGGCAGCCCAGCTCCAGGTTGAGCTGTTGTTCAGCATCTTAGCTGTGGAGGGCAGTGTCACTGGCCCTCATATGTGGGATCCGAACCGGGGCCCTCTGGCGTCCCAAGCGAGTTCTTAGCCATCACGCCACTCGGCCGGCCCCGTGGTCACTTTTGATGATGGCAGAGGGACTCGCCCCTTCTCTGTTTCAGGGGGAGATAGGCCGAGAGATGTACATCATCCAGGCGGGACAGGTGCAGGTCTTGGGTGGCCCCGATGGGAAGTCTGTGCTGGTGATGCTGAAAGCTGGATCTGTGTTTGGAGAAATAAGGTCAGAGGGGACCTGGGCAAAGGCTGGGGCAGGGGGTGGAATGGCCAGTGGGTGGCACCTCCTCCTCAAGGGCCCTTGGGTGGGTCTGCAGAAACCGGTGTGGATGCAGCCCCGGCACCTGCTGACGTAGGCAGGGGAGGCCCAGGCTCTCATCTGTGTGTGGCCGCCATTGAGCTGGATACAGGGCCGGAAATGAAGATTTTAGTCCGGTCAGGACCACAGCTTCTGAAGGGTCTCACCCCGCTCCCTTCTCACCCCAGCTTGCTGGCTGTTGGGGGCGGAAATCGGCGCACAGCCAACGTGGTGGCCCACGGGTTTACCAACCTTTTCATTCTGGATAAGAAGGACCTGAATGAAATTTTGGTGCATTATCCTGAGTCTCAGAAGTTACTCCGGAAGAAGGCCAGGTACGTTTGTTTTGTTAATTAAAAAAAAAAAACATCTATTTTTACTATTTTTACTATCCGGTACCAATGGAGAAAAGAAAGAGCCCAATCTCAAGTTTCTGCTTTTTCCTTCCTGTGTTTCCTTTTGCAAAAATAGGCAGGTCCGCGAATATTTTCTTATTTCCTTTTCTGTCTTGCACAAAAACAGTAGCACCTTGTAGCTTTTCTTTTGTGCTTTGTTCTTGTTTTCACACATGACCAAGTAGAGTGTCTGTGGCCTGAGGACATGTGACATAAGCGTATGTTGAGGGCTACTTGGATTTGTTTGCCTTTCCTCCCCTCAAGGTGGTTGTTTTGGTCATTTGAAATACAGCAGGGTTCATGGGTTTCAGTTTGCATTCCATTCCAGGGTCTTCCCACCCGACCTTTGAGGGTTTTTTGTTGTTTTGAATAGGTAGAACATTAACATGGTACCAAAAGTCAAACTGCTACAATATATGAAACAATATTCTCCCCCTACCTGTTGCCACCACCGGAACCCAATCTCAGTTTCTGCTTTTTCCTTCCTGTGTTTCCTTTGGCAAACACTTGCCGGTTGGCGAATATTTTTTTTCCCTTCCTATCTTGCACAAAAGGTAGCACACTGTAGATTTTCTTTTGCACTTTTGTTTCATGGTAGCCACAAATCCTGAAATGCATTCTCCATCAGCCCATAGACAGCATCCTCTTCCTTTTGACAGTTGCAGAGCGTCCCTGTGAGTGGGCATGCAGGCTATCTCCAATATTTTGCAATATAAACAGTGCTGCAATGAATCACTTTGTGCATATGCATGTTGTGTGGTTGGGGAGTAGGTAATTTCTTGGAAAAACAGATTTTTGCTTTCAAACCATTGAGATCAGGTTGTTAATTGAGTGACAGAGGCCACGTGGTGTGGTAGAAAACCCACAATAGGCTTAGGAAGCTGACAGAGCTCAAATCTCACCCATGTGTGGTACTGGCTGTGTGACCTTGGAAAAGTTACTTAACTTTTCTGGTCTCAGTTTTCTCCACTATGAAATAAGGGTAACCACCCTCTACTTTGTTGTTGAGAAGATTAAATAAAACAGTGTGTGTGAATGTCTCCAGCAGGGTGCCTGACACATGGGAGAGCTCCCTAAAAATGTTAATCATTGTTCCTCTTTATCCATTCAATTCCCTCTATAATTTTTCCATTGGGTAAAACCTTTTTAATCCACATGTCTGGCTTTCTCCCTTGCCTTTTTTCACATATTCTTATCTTCCACTTCATTCTATGAAATGACACCATGAACAAACTGCACAGAGAGTAGTCATGACGAAAGGAACAAACTTACCACATTTATCTATTCATACAGCACAATAATTTATTGAGTACGTAGTTCAAGACTCTGGGGACACAGCAGGAACCAAACAAAGCTGACATTCTAGTTGGGGAGACCAACAATGGAGACATGAATGATTATGTGATGTGTCAGCTGGGGATAAGGGCTATGAGGAAATCTAAAGGCACATGAGGACACAAGTTGATCGAGGAAGCTATGTGAGAAAAGTTGGTCAGGAAAAGCCATTCCAAGGAGGTGGCATTTCAACCAAGACCTGCACAGAATGAAGGAGTGAGCTGGGGGCACTGCCTGCAGGGAACAGCATGCCAGGCAGAGGGAACAGTAAGTGCGAAGGCCCTGATGAGGTGCAGGCTCAGTGTGTGTGTGGACCAGAGAGAAAATGAACATCACTTGATATGGAATGGGAGAAATTGAGGGGATGAGGTGGGGTAGAGCCTTGTAGGTGAAGCCTCAGGATGGCTCTGGCTTTTCCTCTGAGGGAGATGGGAGCTATGCAGGGTTGTACACAGAGGAATGACTTATTGTGGCTTACCGTATTTGCCGGCGTATGAGACGATTTTTTGGCCCTGAAAAATATGCCTCCAAGTGGGGGGTCGTCTTATACGCCAGGTACACTTCAGATAGACTGCCCATATAACAAACTCTGTATTTTGAGTGGA